CCCTATCAATACCCCATGTTATGGACAACCTTGTTTTACAGAAAAATAATCCCTAAACGAATCAAAAACATTCCCAACGGCTAGATACGACTTCAAACTCATTTCAAGCTATAAATACAAGATGAGGACACTTGAAGAAGATATAGAACAACTTTCAAAGCAATCAAACACAAGAGAAGAGTTTTTTTATTCTTATTTCATCTTTATCTTGTAGATATTTATGTTCTTGTGAGCTTAATTCTTGTAAACACCTACCTTAGAGAGGTTTTCTTGTTTATATTTTCTTTCATTGTAAAGGGGTTTTGGTTCTAGATAAGCATGCTAAAAGCTAGGGAAAGGTTATAGTTTAGCCCGTGAAAAACTAGGGAGTTTGTAAAGGTTATCTCTTTGTCCTTGAAAAAGAAAGAACAAATTAGTGAATTTGTTGGAAAATCCTTGGTGAAGAGCTAAGGTAGTGGATGTAGACTTGGTTGAGAAGTCAAACCACTATAAATCACTGTGCAATTATCTATCTTTCAATTCCTTACTCCCTAAACACAAAAACTGTTTTGACCCCTCTTTGCAAACCGATTTGGTTGGTGATTTGAGCTTCCGCAAATCCCAACATTTTTTATATAACAAAAAGGGGGAGATGTACGGTTTAAAAAATTCAATTTCATAATGAAAAGGGGGAGTTTAACATTTTCATATATTTTCCAACAATTGGTATATTTTTAACAATTGGTATCCTTTTGTAAACAATTGGTATCTTTTTCATTAAACATTTTATCAAGGGGAGTTTTGCCAAAAAACAATTTTTCAAATGTTTTCTTTATATAAAAAATGGGGATATTGTTGAACTATGTTTCGATATAACAAATTTAAAGCAAAATGTTTTTGTACTTGAATTGAATTTATTCAAAGATTTCAAAAGGTTTCAAAAATAATTCAAAGTCCATTAAATTCGGATTTGAGTAAAAATACTAAGAGGTACCAATACCCCTATAAATGGGTATCCATACCAGGGTATCGATACCCCTATGACTGGGTATCAATACCCCTATGACTGCTCAAACATTGAATGCAAAAAGGGTACTGATACCCCTATGGGTATCCATACCTGGGTATCGATACCCCTACTGGGTATCAATACCCAAGGCTCCAACGACTAGAAAAGGCTAGTTAAATTTGAAATTAACAAAGGAAGTATCGATACCCTTTGAAGGGGTACTGATACCTTTTGAAGGGGTATCGATACCCCCTGTTATGGATAACCTTGTTTTGAAGAAAAATCATCCCCAAATGGATCCAAATCATCCCCAACGACTATATACGACTTCAAACTCATTTCAAGCTGAGGACACTTGAAGACATATGAGAACACTTATCTAAGCATTCAAACACAAGAGAAGAAGTTTTTCATTCTTATTTTCATTCTCTCTTGTAAATATTGTTCTAGTGAGCTTAATTTTTGTAAACACCTAACTTTGAGAGGTTTATTTGTTTACTTCTTTTATCCTTTTGTAAAGGGGAAATGTTCTAGCTAAGCCAGTGTAAAAGCTGGGGACATGTTCTAGTTTATCCCGTGAAAAACTAGAGAGTTGTAAAGGTTATCTCTTTGTCCTTGAAAAAGAAAGAACAAATTAGTGAATTTGTTGGAAAATCCTTAGTGAGGAGCTAAGGTAGTGGATGTGGACTTGGTTGAGAAGTCTAACCACTATAAATCGCTGTGCAAATTTTCTATCTTTCAATCTCCTTACTCCCTAAACACAAAAATCATCCCGACCTCTCTTTGCAAACCGTTTCGGTTGTCGATTCGAGCTTCCGCAAATCCCAACAACAATTTTATTTCATATTTTGTGATTATTTTGATTTTATCCTTTTATGTTGTTTAATTTATTTAAATTTAAATTTATAATTTCATATTTGTTCATTTTAGTCCTTGATATTATATTTGTATATAAAACTAACCCTTATTTATATTTTTGTATTTTACTTCAAACCCTATAAATCACATAATGAATTTCATTTTAAATTCTATAAACTTTTATTCACCAACTTTTTAAATGTATGCAATTTAGTCCATTTTTTTATCAATTTAAACTTCACATTTTATAATTATTCTAATTTGATCCCTCATTCATGCATGTTGTTTAATTTATTTAAATTTTTGTTTATAATTTCATGTTTGTTCAATTTAGTACTTTAAATTATATTTTTATCAAAATGGACCCATAATTATTTATATTTTTTAAATTTATTCTAAATCATATACAATTACAAATTACAGTTCGACATTCTTATGTTCATGAAACATTAAAAGGCGAAAAATATTTAACCCAAAAATGACCCGACTTGAAGTCAATCCGTATTCGGTAAGATCCGAACTAAATTTTGTCTGTCAATAATGTGACCCGATCTGAACGAAATCGAACTGAAGTCCATTCGAACTTAAATTAACCTTGAATTTAACTACTTCGGACCTGAACTGTTTTGACCTAAACTGATACTGATCCGAATTGAAATTAACATTACCTGAACCCAAACTGAATATGATGCCATATCAACCTAAAAAAATGACCGGAACTGATTAGATATGGACCTGACCTGATCCGAATCAAACCATTAAATTGTTCTGACTCAACATGTATCTTATTTGATCTGACCTAACATAATCCGATTAAAACATCAACGATTACCTGATTTTACAACCTCTTTATCATCCAAGGTAAAGTTGAAACCACAAGCATCATAAAAGCAATCTTTGATTAATTGCTTGCTTTTAAGAACGCATTTTCCTTGATGTACATGGGCATACACTTAGTACCTAACCATTAATAATTATTTATATTTAAGTTTAGCGTAAAGTACATATTTAGTTACTCACCTATTTTCGTGATTTCGTTTTAGTCATTCAACTATTTTATTTTTTCAAATCATACCTAATTTTGTATTTTGGTCACATGTTAAAAAATAAACATAACTGTTGAATGTAATATTTTTCAATAATAATGTGGTATTATCTTATGGTGGCACGTTAGCATCACTGTTAATTTTTGGGTGACCATAATGTAAAGTTAGGTATGATTTTGAAAAACAAATAGTTGGATGACCAAAATGAAGTTGCGAGAATAGGTGAGTGACTAGATAAGTAGCTTATCTTTAAACATAGGGTAAATTAAACAGATCATCACTTAACTTTTTTTCTCATTCCTATTTTGGCCACTCAAGTTTAATTTTTTTTTAATTTAATAACTAAACTTTATATATTGATTTTTTAGTCACTTCGTTAATTTAATAACAGACCGAGGACCTGACATTTTAACTCAAACTTTTTCTAATTCCCAATTTATTTTTTCATTTCATTGGTGTTCATGGCTCTCACCATTTTATTGAACTCCTCTAAGCTGCAACTTTCACCATTGGAAATGCACTTCCAACAGCCTTTAAAGGTCCACCAACTCTTCCACTTGTAACCTGGCCATCTGCACTTAATAAACATGCACCGAGTCCACCAGTCCTCCCATCCTTAACTCCCATCCTTATATTCACTCTCGACTCTCTATTCATATCAATTCAATTCATTGTTACATAAAGTTTGGTTATCAGGGAATTTTGCAGGGACGAGATGAATGGAATTTTTTTTAGATAAAAACGGGGACCAATCTAATTAGCTTATGCAAATTTAGCAAGAAAAGTTGTTCTCCCTAGAGGTATTGAGTTCGAACAGCTACATCTGTAGAGTATATGTGCATTGTCAATCGATTAAGAAAATTATGAACATATATTACCTTGTAATCAATCCATACTATTAAAAAATAGTTTAGCCATTGAAACGAACATGTTGCAGCTCAACTTCCCCTTCTCCAAGTGCCGCAGTCCTCAGCCGGTTATCCTCTGTTTTAAGCAACTTAACAAATTGGACAAACACTCTTAATAATTACATGCTTGTAGCCGAGGCTCCACGGTAAATAGTTTTGTTTTAAACTTCAGTTCTTCAAATCCTTGCAAATATTTAAGTTTATAAGATTTATTTTAGTTAAATAGAATAATATGAGTTTATTTTAATCCAAATCCAAATATATTTTGAGAATGAAATTAATCGTACTCTATAATAATCGATTATGAAATGATGAAATTGCAGTCATAGCCACAAGAATGAAATGCTCACTCGAAGGTAAGTGGTGAGAGCGGTGAACACTAATAGGGATGGAAGAGTTAACATTGATGAATGAATAAATAGGTACAAATTCGAGAGTTGAAAAGTTAAGTAAATAAGAAAAGTTTGAGTTTAATGTCATATTATTAACCGATGAGTGACTAAAACATTTTAACATATCAGTTATTAAATTGAAAATTTAAAATTAAGTAATGATTTATATAGTTTACTCTTAAATTTATTACATAAACTAATACTTTGCCATCTTAATAGCTAATCAGATTACTAATCTAATATTGAATTTGTGAAAATAATGATGTTATTAAGTATTATATATTATAACCTGATTAATAATTGTAGGTCAACATAAATGTTATTTTGATTATTTTTCTTGTAGAAATCAATTTTGGGTATTAATTTTTATAATAAGCCTTATATATTATATTTAATATTTAAAGTAAATGGCTTCTCAATAATAATTTTTTTTTCAGTTTTACAAAAATATAGGGTCGTTAGATGAATAAAAATAAATAGTTGAGATTAACACATTGTTTTTTCAGTGAATATCTTCTAATTTCCTAACGTTAATCTCGGTCATCTATTTTCACTGGTACAACGTTTCTAAATCTGTATAAAACTAAAAGAATTTTACACTGTATAACAGGATCCTACCTCTCTCTCTCTATATATATCATGTTTTATTATTCCCACGTGGACTTAAATTCTAAAAATAATCTATTTAAGTAGAGCGAAAGTAACGTCGATACCCTAATCAGATCGCCGGTAAAAACTATTTAAGGTTCTCTTCCTCTTCTTTCTTCAAACCTTTTATTTTCTTGGTGAGAACCAAACCCTAAATCCGATGGCCAACAAAAGAAAAAGAGTTTCCGGAAATACTGAAAATAAAAAAACCAGGTATGTGCGTTGAATTTTTTACTGCTTCCTTCGTCGACAATCAACTTCAATCGAGTTCTTGATTTGGGTTTTGTTTTATGGTTTATGTTAGGGAAGTAAAAGCTAGAACAGTAGAGGAGAAAGATGCAGTCGACAGATTCAGTGATCTACCAGACCATCTTCTTTTGAAGATCATGTCATCACTTACGATTAAAGAACCAAATCAAACATGCGTTCTATCAAAACGATGGAAGGATGTTTTTACGTCGATATCTGATATTGACCTTGATGGCTTTCTAAAGAATCAACCTTTGCGTGATACTTTCATGAACTTCGTGGGCAGATTTCTGCTGTTGCGTAAGGATATCGATGTCAAGAGTTTCCGTCTTGACTGTGGATTTGGCATGGATCCTTGTAGAATCAGTGGATGGGTACACTATGCCCTACGGATTGGCGTTACAGATCTTGATTTAAACATTAAAACAAGGGAATCTATTCAGTTTCAATCTGGGGTTTTCACTTGTAAAACACTCAAGACATTGAAGTTATGCTTCGATCGAAGTTTCACCCTGCGTGTTCCCACAAGCTGTTGTCTGCAAAATCTCGAAGTTCTCCAGCTCAGTGATCTAACATTCTCAGATGATGAATCTATTCAAAAGTTAATCTCGAGCTGCGTTGATTCACTCGAAGAATTACGTGTTGAATATTGTAATTTGAGCAACGTAAACAAACTCGGTGTTTGCAGTACTAAACTCAAGAGGCTAACCATAACGAGTTATCAAGGCCCTAGTCAAGAACTGGAGATAAACACCCCAAATCTGGTCTACTTACAATACAACTACAACACACCGACAAAACATTCCTCAAGAACCTAAACTCTCTTTCAGAAGCACGTATTGGTATCGGACCGATCATTTCCTCCGACACGGACCGGAAACGCATTGTTTCTGCAATAAATTTGATGACAGCAATCAGTAATTTTCGGTCACTTCATTTAACCGGTTGTTATAAAGTGGATTTATTTGCGGTTGGACGGATGCTACATTGGATGGGGAACATTGTTCGCTACTAGTCCATCACTTGAAACCATTGTTTTTGACTTAGAGGTATGGATTAATCAATGGAATAGTATATATATATTATTGTAGGTTGGAATTTGTAGCTATGAATTAATTTTTTTTCCAGATGTTTTCTCCTGTAGATTTTCATATAAAGAAGGAAGTTTCGTCTTGTTTACTGCATGGTATCAAGAAAATCAAAGTTTTTGCTTTAAGAAGAACGGATATTAAGTTCATTGAATATGCTTTGATGGAGGCATTTGCTTTAGAGAGCTTGGTAGTAGAGGTGCGTGGCGCTGGGAAGAGGGATCAGAAATTTATCAGCAGAAAAATACTTGAATTGTCAAACTTTCAAACAAATGCCAAATTCTTGTAAAATGTTAAACTCTAAAGCTCTTTATATTTATTAATAAATTACTAGTTCATATTATAAAGTGATATTCCATTTTTTATTTTATATTAATATTTTAAAAATTAATATATTTTTAAATAATCTGAAATGATTGTTTTTAAAAAAATCTCACTCATATTTATAAATTTTAGTGGGCATGTAAAACTTTAGATCTGATTAGGACGTTACGACTGAATCTAGACAATCACATTTATTAAAAAGTCATTCTCATATTTAAAAACGCAATTATAATTCATTTCAGTATTTAGAATACATATAACAATAAAATATGGAAATAACCATTAGAAAAGTTTAAAAAAATCTCACTCATATTTATAGATTTTAGTGCCATTAGATTGTTGAGACATGACAACAGTTTAATCATTTAACCTTACAAATATCTAGATTATTTTATGAATATTTTTAGACATCTATTATTTTTATATTATTCTAGAATATTCTCAAGATATATATATATATACACTACTTGATACTTATATATTTCAAAAGAATTTGCATTAATTTTTAATAGATTATCACTGAAATTACTTAATAGATTCAAAGAAATTTAATACATTATTAAATGTTTTACACAAAATTTCATAATAGACACTATCAACAAAATAAATGAATAATCGAACAATATTTAGATTTCAAAGTAAGCACTAGTCACAATCTGCCACTGCTTGTCGTGGATGCTGAACGGAAATTAACCATGCCACTTGAATTAAGTATGAGAATAAAAATATTATATATTTGATAAAAACATATTAAATTATTTTTTTATTATTTTTTTATTATTGTTATTCCTTAAAGTCTTAGGTTCAAACACCATGAATGTCAGGGGTGTAAGTGTTCAATATCAAATGATTGAAAATTGTCTTTGAATAGACATTATCTTATACTTACCCAAATTAATAAAAAATTTGATAACCCCTTGGTTGTGAGAAGTTGAATTTTAATCAACTAATGCGATCGTTTGGTCTTTAGTAAGAAAACTGCAAGGAAGATACATCGTTTATAGACTAATAATACTATAGTAGACCTAATTAAATCAGGTCCGTAGATGTTGAGCTTTAAAATTTTGTAAAACTTTTAAATATCAAACAACAAAAATTATATAGATTTAAGTGGTTACCGGTAGTAACGTTCTCCCTCAAGCAACTGTATTTACGAGTATGTATTGTCAATGACTAAAATATTTATGAAAAAAATATTATTTTATAATCATCTTAAACTATTAAAAGTTATCACGTTATCATAATCTTGAAGGCAAAGTTTTCTTATAAGGGTTGTTTGTTAATTTTTTAACCCTAAAAAAGTTCTATAGGATCACCGACTACTTTCTTCTTATTTTCCTTTTTTACTTTACAGGAGACAACATCAGCCTTAGTGCTAGTTGTTGATCGCATGTATTCCTTACTTTTCTTTTACTTTTTTGTATCGGATTGTAGTAACTGATTTTTGGTGGGAAGACCGATATGACATTATGGAAAATAAAACAAATTTATGAAAAGATAGGAATCACCACCAATCATTTTTAAGGAGAGATTGAACACCTAAAATCAGGTAAATTTAATAAAACATTTTATTTTATAAAAAATACAAGTTTTGGTATGCGAAATCAGAAATCGGATTCGGGAGTCAGTTATGCATAGGGAACGATTAGCACCCCCACAAAGCCCAAAATTGATACCTAGTTGATTAATCTATATTTGAAAATCGAAAATTTTGAGTTTGAACTTTTATTTAATTTAAAACCCACTATGTATGCATATTTAAAAAATGATATCAAGTTACCAATACCAATAACAACCACCCCCAAGCAAAAGCAGAAGCTTTGTTATTAATCCCAACAAATGAACATTGCCTTATCAATTTTAAAAATCATGATGTGAGATTTTAAAAAGGATGTTGATTAACTTCGTGAATCAATTGCGGTCAGCACCGGAAAAAAGCAGGAGATACACTACTAATCCTTTAATAAATGAACGTTACCTTATTTTTGAAAACGAAATGCAATCAAACAATTTGTTATTGAAGCTAATTATGCAAATCTCTAACCTAAAGTGTCAAATTATGAAATTTAAAGAACCTAAGGATTAAACCTAAAAATGTAGGCTATTAATCCAAATCATTTTTAATAAATTCTCAAGACGAATAGTCAAAATGGAACCTTGAGCAAAAGCGAGGACCAAATCAAATATTTTACTAAATTAAGGACTAAGTTTGAAATTAAGCCTAAAATGGAGGCTTTAATTATTAACCTAGTCAGTTTTAATTAGTTATTTGATTTGAATATTTAAAAAGGAACCTTAAGCAAAAGCAAGGACCAAATTAAAAATTCCCCTAAATTAAGGGAATAAACCTAAAATCTAAGTAATCTAGATTAGGACTAAAATATTAAAAATCTAAATCAAAAGGTTTAATTTAAAATCTAAAATTCTAAGACTAAAATGTAAAGAAATTGAAATTAAAGACAAAATTAAAAGCAAATAATAAATATAAAGGGACTAAATTGAAATAAATTAAAATGCAAGGTTGAATTAAAATTCATCAAATAAAGGTCCAAAATAAAAGAAAAAAGAAATTTAAATTTAAATTAAGAAATTGCAGAAAATTCAAAAATTAGAATTTAAAGGACTAAAATGTAAATGTTGAAAAGTAAAGGTATAAATTAAAATAACAGAAATTTAAAGGGAAGAAATGTAAATAACGGAAAATAAATCAATCGAATAAAATTAGAAGTTATGGGTTAATTTTTAATTGTTACCCAAACCATAAATAATGCGAAACATACCCTAGGGCGGGTCATTGTGATGTCATAGATTAATTCAAATATTTTATAAGTTAGTAGTTAATAAATTAGTAAGTTAGCAGTTAAAATTTTACTTGGACCATAATAATGTAGATCATACCCCATGGCGGGTCACCACAAGATCATATTAAATATTCAAGTGTTAGTAGTAATAACAAATTAAAAGTGGTGACCAAATTGAAATAAAATAAAATAGTGAGACCAAATCAAAATAAAAGAAAAGGACAATAAGTGACCAAAATAAAAAAGAAATCAATATGCCAAAATCAAAATAAATTAAAAGAGAGAATTTGGTGGCTAAAGTGTAAATCAGCGGCAAATGTTTGAGGACCTAAAAGTTTACTATAATGGCTAAAATTTACTAATTTTGGTTAAAATCTAACCCAAACATAAAAAAACCTAAAGCCTCTTTTTCTCTCTCTCTCAAAAAACACTCTCCTTCCTCAAACATGAACGATGACAGCCAACCAAAGGAAGGAATGACCAACTCGTAGGCCACCAAGATTTGGTGGGCCACTCATGTCCAATCCACTGCTCGTGGTGGTTGAATAGCCCCAAACCAAGACCAAATGGAGACAAAATCCCCTCATCTTCTAAACTCTCTATTTCTACCGACCGAAGAGACATAGAACTCAAGGCCACTGAAAGTACGCCGTAAATCGATGTTTCCTCATCGCCGATCACCTCTAGCAGTGACCGGCCGAAATAGAACCTAAACTGAAAAGATCCAAGCCCCCTCCTTTTACTCTATGTCGGAACCGTCTTTCAAGTGGGTCCGGAATTGGGCTTCGACTTGAATTGAATGGTTAGAGTCACCACCGATCATTTATTTAAAAAAAATGGGTTGATTGGATACATTGATTTCTTACCTGATCTGTATCTTACCAGCGATATGTCATATTCGGGAGTCGGTTACAGTCAAGGAAGGGTTAGCACCCTTGAATTGCCCTTTCGGCACTAATTAATTTCTAGTTGTCTTTAATTAAGAAAATTGCAGGTTAAATTAAAAGGTAAAATTTTGATCCAAATTACTTACCTTTAATGGATTTGAAAACATACCCTTAAAAAATGTTGAGTTGATCGATAGACGGAATCGGCCAAGAGGGGGTGAATTGGCAATTAAAAAATTGGTGTAAGCTTTTGCAGAAAATTGAAAGAAGTTGCACAACGATTTAGAGTGGTTCAATTTTCTCAACCAAAGTCTACGTCCACTACCTTAGCTATCCACACTAAGGATTTTCCAACAAATTCACTAATTTGTTCTTTCTTTTGAGGACAAAGAGTAACCTTACAACTCCCTCAAGAATTATACCCCAATTCTTGAGCACACTCTTTTTCAAAGAGAAATACACAAATTTACAAACTTACAAGGAAAACCTCACAAGGCAATATGTTTGCACAATTCTAGAACAAGATAAGAACACTCAAAGATGATTACAAATGAGCACAAATTGTGTTCTTGAAAGCAAAATGAATATTGAAAGGAAATTTGGCTTGAGTTGCACAAACTTGATGTTTGATGCTTTCTCTCTTGTTTCTCTATGATTTCTTCTTGATTGTTGTTGATCAATGGCTTCAGAACTTGTTTAAATACTACTTCAAATGATTCTGAACGTTGGGGATACTTAGTTGAGTCAATAGAGCCGTTTAAATGTGAAACAATTAATAAATTCAGTTGGGAGCTTCAGTGCATCGATGCATATCCATGGTGCATCGGTGCATCAAGTGTAAATTCAAATATTTTGACCGTTGGACCCTTAGTGCATCGGTGCACTAAGAGTGCATCGATGCATCAAGTGCATTCGATGTTTCAAAATAGCCAGAGTGCATCGATGCATGGCCGGTGCATCGATGCATCAAATGCATTCGATGTTTTCATAAAATCCTTAGTGCATCGATGCATGAAATGCATTCGATGTTCAATTTATTTCATGGTGCATCGATGCATTAATTGGTGCATCACTATGAAAAATTGATTTTAGGCTTGATTTTGGTTCAAAATACTTTGTGAAAATTGTTTTAAAAATATATTAAGTATAAAACACAATTTTACACTTTTAGTAAGGTTTGAAATTGA